CTGAATGCAAACCGGAACTTCTTGTCTCAAGCTCCTTCCTTTTCTTTGCAGTTTCAAGATACGGAGAGTTTTTTGGCGGGGGGATGCAACTTTGGCCGACATTTGGTGCCTTAGCGTTCAGAATCCTCGTAGCTAAACCATTTTGAAGGTTCAAGAAAAATCGGCTTTAGCTAGTGCCTCGTTGCATTTTGTTCCTCATGGCATGGTTCTTGTGCCTCGTCGGGGATCTAGTTGAGCGCCAATGCCCTAACACTTACCGAGAACGTGGATATTAGACACCAGTGCACTCGTCGAGTCGGATGGATACCTCTAGCTTTCTGCACCGTTCTCAGACCAGAAGACGAGTCCGTGGGCCTGGGCCTCCTCCTGCTGCGCATAGTATGAGTAGAGTTCGGGACTTCAGCATGGCGCATGTGGACCAAAGACTCATCTGGAAAGATCGCCGTGCGACTGCAGGGGTTCCTGCCCCTCCATGGCATAATGGGGGTGCCGGGGAGGGCGGAGATATCTTGTCGAGGAGCTGTCCTTTGCATTGACATTGTGCATAATGATTCCCCATTTTAGCCCAATGTAGCGGAAAGGATCCGTGGCTGGTAGCTTTGGCGTGGATTGTGCTGCAAGTTCTTGTAACGCCCAGGCACAGGGTTGCACTGAAGTGTGATAGCCTCTTGGTCAGGGGATGCAGAGATGTGCGACCGAACTAGGGATTTATCGGCCTTGTCGGCGCACGAACAGCCAGTCACATCCGCTGGGCCAAGTCCAACCAAGGTTTCTCAATGGACCAGTGATCCGATTTAACAGCAAGAGAGACGACGACTGAGACCGTGGCTTCCAAGCATTCAATGAGATGCTGCTGGAGGTATGCAGCTTCCGAGTTTGCAGCATTCTCGTAGAAGCACCCGATCAGGGTCGTGGGTAAAGGTTGAATGGGCAGGACGGGGGAAAATTTCGTGCGGATGGACCTTGGCAGGGGTTAAAATTAGCCTTTTACGCTAATGCAGTCTATACTATCTCTAGTCTAGACTTCACCGTTTTACCCCAGGAGGTTGCTTTGGCACCACTCCACTTAGCAGGCGAGCAGGCTCTATCTGACCATCCTCGCCATTCCGCCCTTCCACCGATATCCCCACCACCGGATAATTCACCCTCTTCCCACCATCTTCGAAGGACCGAGTATTGCCCACCTTACTCAAGAAGCTGCTACCTATGTATGGTTGGAAGCTGATGTGCTTCCGGAAATCTGGAACAAGGTACCAATTTTCCGCTCTCAATTCAGGAGTCTGAAAGTTGCAATGGATCTGAAGCCCTCTTCGGACGGCCGGTGCGCCGGTTGATGGCCCCAGCATGAGGCTTTTACACCTGCAATCTTCCAGGTCCTCGCCACTTCAATGCACTGACTGCATTGTTGCACAATTGCCGAAATCAATCTCATCGAGACCCTTTCCATAAAGGACAGTGATCGGCGTAGAGCTCCATCAAGCTACAGGGTTCGATTCACACACACCACTCCTAGGTAGCCATAACCTAATGCGCTCGGTGTACCGGGTATGAGGAGGCCCAGACCGTTTCTCTCTCTTACCGATTCGGTCGTCTATCTGACTGGAACACTGGAGAGAATTTCGCTAGGTTGTCGCTCCGGCTTCTGACGAACATTCGATAGTTCTTAAATACCCGAGATGTTTTACGCGCGTCGTCAGATAAGAAGGCTATCGATTGCAGAGCTTTAACGTCGCCCATTCATTTCCCCTATCGAGCAGCTCGCGTGGCCGGCTAACAACCTCGTGGCAGTCATAGGGGGTCCAGTAGGGACTGTTTATAAACTACGCAGGGCCGCTGGGATCCAGGTTTTTCTTTTCTCCAGGGATTTCTGCCTCCGCTGCAAGCGTACCATTTGGTTCGATCCCTGACTTCAGGTATCGACCGTCCATTCCCTTGACTTTCTTTGTACAAGTTTCGGTTTCTTTATCCTTCTCCCGAGACCTTTAAGCCATGCATCTTCAGTTTCTTCTACCGGCCCTGCTCGCCGTTGGCAGCACCCGCGCAGCACCGGCGCCTATCGAAAACACCTTGTCAGAGCGCGACGTGTCTACCTCTTCGATCTACATTCCGGCGTCGACTCTCAAGACAGACATCCTGGCGGCTAAAGGCCTTGTCAATTTGGCAATTTATGGACTGACGAATCCGTCGGGCGGGAGCTGCAACTTATTCAATGTAGCTGTCCGACGAGAATGGTCGTCACTCTCAAAGGACGAAAGACGTGCATACATCGACGCTGAGTTGTGCCTGATGTCGAAGCCGACACAAGACCCCAATTTCGCAGCTGGCGCGAGGTCCCGGTACGACGACTTTGTTGCGGTCCATATCAACCAAACACTTTCCATTCACGGGACCGCAAACTTCCTGGCATGGCATCGTACTTTCACCTGGAACTTCGAACAGGCGCTGCGGAATGAATGCGGCTACACGGGATATCAACCGTACTGGAATTGGGGAAAGTATGCATTCGACCCCCTCAATTCTCCCTTGTTCGATGGCAGCGACTACAGCATGTCTGGCAACGGTGCTTACGAGGCGCATGGTTGCACCGAAGCCTTGCCCACGGATCTAAATTGCATTCCTCCCGGTTCTGGAGGTGGCTGTGTGAATACTGGGCCGTTCAAGGATTACGTCGTCAACTTGGGTCCTGTTGCTCCGACCTTGGACATCCCAGGAATCATCAACTACTCCAATCCAAACCCTCTTGCCTACAACCCTCGCTGCCTTCGTCGCGACATCTCATCCTGGGTCTCTTCCAACTGGACCAAGGACTCGGATTCTTATGACCTGATCGCTAACTACAACGACATCCTGTCGTTCCAGAACCACATGCAGGGAGACTTCAGCGTCGGTTTCTATGGCGTTCACACGGCCGGCCATTTCACAACCGGCGGTGACCCGGGCGGCGATCTCTTCGCGTCGCCCGCCGAACCGACTTTCTTCCTACACCACGCGCAAATTGATCGAACGTGGTGGATCTGGCAGAACCAGGACCCTAAGAACAGAAGGAACGCCTTTGCCGGGGGCACTTCCACCTTGGATCCCGTTAACAGCCCTCCGGGACAGCTCACCGACCCTATTAACATGGGCAGCCTGGGGCAGACGATACAGAACAAAGACGCAATGTGGACGACTGCCGGCCCCTTCTGCTATATTTACGTCTGAAGAGAAGGGTGGAGGACGAAAGAAAGGGCTTGTTTTGTACGTTTACGACGATTCTTCAGCGGTACGCAATACAATTCAAACTAGAATTAACCAGCGAGCATATACACGCGAAATTATCGGGATAGTACATAATGTTTATTCTGCAGTCCAGTCTCCAGTCTGGACACATCTTCAGGGGCATTCTCCTTGTCCGTTTACACCCGCGAGTTCTATTGTAATTGATTGGCGATGAATTATTACGTATACGGGCATCGAGGTGCACAAAATTTCCTGACGAAGTTCGTCTTCTGTTTTACATTCATAGGTACCGGATGCGGCTCCCCAGCTGGGCTGGCGGGAGGGTTTAACGAATCATGTCGACCTCGTTGCGAGCCTTGGGGTCCTAAAAGACATGGATTTGAAGGTGCTGGTTGGTATTGAGGTGTTTGAGAGCGGAAGCCCGGATGTCGAGTTCGGTTTCTGGGGAGGGCGAAGTGCAGGACCTGGATTCATGAACTGACCTGAGGAGTAGCAACTGACCGTTCTCGCGTAAAACCGAACGAATTTTGTTGTGACAGACCCTCCTCAGGGCGCTTTACAGTTGTGACAACCTTTAATCACTGGCTGGCTCGCTGTTTGAGATGCAGTCCCAGCACGGCGTACGGAGGGATCAAGAAAGCGTGTCAAAAGAGCTCAAACCGAGGGGTGGACTCGGGTATCTCCTTCTCTCGGGTGCGGAGTACCTCGATTGGCCTCGCTAAGGGGCAGGAGAGGGATTGCTAGCAGGTGAAACTGCAAGGCTGACACCGCAAGGCTGACATCAAATCGGTGGCCCTTTTTTACGATGATTTCTCCCACCCCTAACGAGCTGTGGGGTGTGTAGACAGTGCAGTCTTCAGTATTCACTCACACCGCCCACTCGGGGCGCGTAAGACGCTTAACAATTTTGAATGATGCAGTGTAGTCCCACGACCTCTGTCTGTCTGACCTACAGGGGGGAAGAAAAGATTGGAGATTCCATTTCGGATTTTCACAAACACACAGCCACCCCCTGCCCCTACTTACCACACATCTTCCCCAACCAGTACAGCCTGCTGCAATCTACTCTGTCCATCTTTAATATCTTGCCTTCTTGCCCCCCAGAGCGAAGGTTTTGTCAAGGGTCTCCCGGACTGTCTAGTGACGAATACTCGTGCAGATCGGTGCAGGAAATGTATGTGTATACTCCATCTCTCTTTTTCATTCCCATTCTACCAAGCCGAATGTGTGATTAACTGAAAACTAATTGTCTAGCTTTGGCGTTGGTTTCGGACCAGCACGGGTAGGCAGGCGCGGCACGCAGGAAGGACATTCACTTGGGACGCGAAAAGAAAGGGGAAAAAGAGAAAATGTTCGACCTCATCAACTGGTTGATGCTGATGTGCTGCTGGTGCTGCGACCGCAAGGACAGAGACGAAGAAGAATATGACATTTCGGAACGCAAGCGCGAACGGGAGAGCCGGGCCAATTCCAGAGAGCAAGACGCGGACGCCGTCGCCAGCGGGGAGGGACAGGTGATGAAGAAAAAACCGCAGCTCGCGCACGCGCCGCAACTGGAGCCATAAAACGAGGATCAGGAGTGCACAGTTAGTTTCGACATCTCGCTGTCGTGGATTTGGCCATCGGGCTAAGAGAATCGCTTTGAAAGTACGAGGGCACAACCTCCTCGTCCAACACACTTTGCTCTCGTAACGACACCGTTGCGGACCCATCCGATTGCTAGCGGGCAAGCATCAGAGCTCTTTCCCATCACGACGGCTAGTGGCAACGACGACTATCAATCATCCCTCCTGAAAACTCCCACCAGGCGGCTCCTCCTCATACTGCACCGCGCCTTCGGGCACATCAACGACAGCCGACCTAGTCCAGATATGCACGGCGGTCCTCATCATGTCCTTGGTGAGCCCGCTCAAGCAGCCGGCCTTGACGCTCAACATGGGCGCCGGCGTACCGTCGCTCGGCGACACCGACACGTGCACCAAGCGACTCCCGCACGCCGTGCAGAAATACCCCTCGGTGCGGCCCTGCGAGTTCGGGCGCGCGTACACGGCGATGGCTCCCGGACGGGGCTCGAACTGTCTGATGTCGAAGAATGGGAAGATGGCCGTCATGCCGTACGTGGAGGATGACTGGTGGCGGCATTCCGTGCAGTGGCAGATGTACAGCTCCAGCGGCGCCGGGAGCGGCGTGGTAAAGCGGATTTGTCCACATTGGCAGCGTCCTTCCATGGTTTCGGTGCGGTTGAGTTTCTCAGGAATTGGGGGGAAATTACAAGTTGACTGTTCTTCAGCTCCGGCTGGCCTGAATCATGAATCAAATCCGTTGGCAACGGGAGAGCGAGCTGTTTTGTGGTTCTGCACTACGCAAGTGGCGCCTCTGAGTCTTTCGAGGGATCAGGCAGTATTTTACGCCTTCTCGTCCTTCTTCGACCCCTCATTCTGGAATGTATTGTCCAGACACTAGTAGCCGCTTTCCCCCGCGATCAAACTCCGGACCACGCACATCTTGGAACTTGCGGGGGCCCTGTTGGCCATTCCCGCGGACCATAGTCAAACGATAGGCTTGAGCCATGCTTACCTGCACAAGTCTGGAAAGGAACAGGGTCCAAGCGCTCCTCTCCATTCCATTATATTGGGAAGAGATAGATCTCTCCCTTTCGCAGTGCTATGCAATAAATAGCTATCTAATAAGTCTCGGTTAAGGTATGCCATCCGGTAGTATGGCATATAGTATACCCGTATGGCATACCTTAACCGCTCTTTTATTACTGAAATAGCCCGCTTTCACACACCCTCTTCACCCACTCACCCACCCATCCATGCGTGTGTTCCAATGTTTAAAATACAAGGCCTTTTAAGCCTTACGTCGCCAGTGTATTCGTAATTGTAGTATCAATGTAGTGAACGGGCGCGAAACGGCAATTGCTGCCATGTTTGCATTTCCTCCCGTTCGGGCAGATATGGCCCTTGACGCAGGTTTTGGACGTGCACCACGATCCCTGCGGGCACAACTGGCAGCGGGAGAGGTACAGGAGAGCCCTCGTTTCGTCGTCGGTCAAGGTCGCGGTGTGGTCGTAGGCGCATGTTTCGTTTGTGCAGCCGCTGGCGAGGAGATGGTGAGCGTTGCAGAGACGCGGCTGTCGTTCTCGGAGCTTGCTCAAGAGAGCTGGGTCTGCTTCCAGCTGGACGGGGACGTCGATGCGGCGACCTTCGGCGTTCTGATAGACTGGGCCCAGCTTGAGGATTGGTGACTGGTCGGCGTACGCCACAGTTTTCGATGAGGGACCCTCTATGTTTGACGACGGCAGCCCTTGTCTAGGAGGCGGACGTGCCAACATCCAAGTGGCATTCAGTGGCGGCGGGTTACCTGTTCGCTCTACCCAGTTTTCCTGCAAAGTAGTCTCTTTAGCTTAGTACTGGGGAGTTGACAACATGGCCAACTTACCACGGCCCGCTTGATAATGTTCTTGCTTTTGAGAAACCACTCATCACTTGCCCACAAGTCAGATGGCAACCCGAGTGCTTGTTCCACTCTTTTCTTGACAACGCTAAAGTCAAGCGCTCTGGGTGATTCTCGGAGGCGTTCGTTGGTGCATTTGATTAACGCAGCTTCTATATCATCCGCTGTGTCAGCTACCCTTTCTCCCGGTAGCGCAGTTTGACTGGAGGATGGGGTGAAGGAGACCGATGGATTCCGCGATAGGGTATCTGACCCGTCGATTCCATCTTCATCGCGGTAGGGGTACTCGAAAACCGGTATCACGTTTTCGTTAGTAGATAGATCAGTAGCGTATAGATCCCCATTAGTCCTTTCAGCCGAGGTTCTCCATTGCTCTAGTTCGCGTGGAAGTCGGCGTTCACTGGACAGAGGTGCATTCCTGAATACATCTGGAAATTCAGTACATTTCAATTTTGTTCGAATGCTTCCGAATTCGGGCGAGAAAGGTAGCCCTTGGATCAGCGTGACGCGGGACGAGACATCTGTGTCGATCAAGAACGAGCCCAGGAAGGATGCGTAGGCGTTGTCGCTCGACCCGCCGAAGAGGACACGTTTGCAGTGAACATTGTAAATGTTGAGACTGAGATTCTCTGCCACAAGAGAGTCTCAGCCGCGGTCTGCAAAAAACTGTGCTTTTCGGAGCCTCTTACCCTTCAATTTGGAATCGGCGGCTTCCTTATGATTCCCAGCGTCAATGAAGTCACACAGTGGATGTGCCTTGTTGAATCCGAGGACAAACTGACTAAATGCAGTTATGGTGTGCAGAATAGACATATCGGAATAAAGCTTGCTTAAGCCTCTCAAATTTGCGTACACGCGAATTACGATCTTATCATCGTGCTTAATGTCGTTGTCGTAGCGCAGATATTCGAAAACAGCCCGTCTAAGTAGTTTGGCAGCTTCGTCGCCGCCGGCCATACCTTTTCGAACCAGCTCATTTAAAAACTTGGCAAGCGGTCAGCCTCCCGGATGGAGAGTGAGGAGCAATGGGGAGCATAACCAGGGTTAAGAAAATAGGAGGCACCCACATACATGTTGTCGCCGTCTATCAGGACCATGATGAACGCGTTTCTCTCCATTGTCTTTTGCATATTGTCAATTTTTCTGAACAAAGTCTCAATAAGATTATTGCGGGCTTCATCCGCCCTCTTCAACTCCATGTATTGCTTGCGAAGGATATCCATGGTTGCCTGACTGGAGAGTGTTCTGAGTGTTTTTTGGAGCTTGTTCCCGTTTAAATGGTTACTCGTACAGTCCGGCAGAAACGAGAAATTGAAAAGGAAAAATAAGCACCGTCTGGTTTATCTGGACAAATGTGTGACGAAGCATTTGGACTTTGAACTGTGGTTGAGAAAACAAAGTCGGTGAAAGGAATTGTCGCTATGCCCTTTCAGTACAAAAGGGTTTGCTGCAATGCTTGGCTTCACAAACGTCGTTCAGGCTCCAGGCGCCTGTGCGTGTCTGTACTTGGCCTTAAGAAGTGGAGGGTGAGACCGACGGTTCAGTCTTGATCTTGTCTTGCTAAAATGCTGAGCACTCTCTGCCGCAATTCCGATGCTGGAGATCTGACAGAAATGTGTGCTCGGCACAATGATACTCTGTCGTCAGTACCAAGTATCGAGTACACGGATTGCCAAACTAGTGAGACGAAACAACAGCGGTAAAGAGGGTGGTTGGAGCCGTCCAGTAAGCACAAAGAGAACAGGTTGCGAATTGGGGCCGTTTCTTAAGCGAGGGCCTAGAGTTCTTACTTAGGGTGCGATCGTCACGCCTGAATCTCTGGTTTGGGATGAGCTTTCAGGATCCAACAAACTCGGGATCCTCTCAGTCCGGCTTAGCAACGTGGTCACATTTGGCCAAGTCCAAGACACGGAATAATGGGAATGGCACATGAGTGGCTGCCATCGCTCCTCGACTTCGAACGGTCTCAAAAGCGACAGCAAATCCAAAGCGGGGCAATCTCGATGTGGCCTGACTAAGTCGACCGTTTCGTTGGATGTTTCGGCCGGTAAGCGAGCGCCCACCTGTTGATTGAGTTCATATGAAGACACGCGCAGACCGTTAGTCCCGCCCAACTCCTGAAACATTCTTCAACTCGCGGTCTTCTCGTGGTGGCTGCTGTGGTCAAAGTTAATGGGGGCCGTACCAATCAGAACAAGGACGATGTAAGAGCTCTATCTGGGCTTCGGTTGGGTTGCAACCATGTCTGAATCGTGCTTGTATGATGTGGACACCCCGCGCACGGATTCGGAAACGGATGGGTTCAACACATCCGAAGACGAGTTGTCTTATGCTGCCATAAAAGCCAAAGTGCAAAAGGCTCACAGAACAACTTCGACCAGTACCAATGGAGCCAGATCTCAGCAGCTCATCAATAGCCCGAGGCCGCCCTTACCTAAACCCATCTCAGCCTGCCTCGTCGACCCATTTGAAACACTGCCCATTGAGGTCGATGGGATCACAAACCAACTCTTGCACTTCTACGGCCAGAACAGCTACTGGCAGACCGCCTACGCCTTATCTCCCAAGATAAAACCCTCCATCAAGGGGTCCTGGGAGTATCAGGCGGGCGCATGCCTGACTCATTTCCACATATTGATGGCTCGTTCAGCCCTGCATCAACTGCGCATGAATGCCAAGTACGCGACGCCGGCCACAAGAAAGGCGTTGGAGTACGCAGCATTGAAGCACCAGACCAAAGCGATCACCCTCCTTCGAGAGAACGTGCAACTTGGCTCGAATGCCGATCTCAAACTGATATTGACTTCGATCATCAGCCTTGCGACCTTTGAGCAGCGATATGGAGAGCGCGAGAGAGCGGTCCTGCATTTTAGAACGGGGAGGGATATAATTCGCCAGATTGGCCTGCAGGATGGGCTTCATGATCGATTGAGAGAGGAACAGGCGCTTTGGTTCGAGGGGGTCTATCGCGACCCCGAGGCGAGCTGGATGTGGGGGCAGGAAGACGCGAATGTGCGATTTGGATGGCTAAAATCTCTCCTGAAAGATGTCGATCGGATTTGGAGGGATAGGCAGTTGTTGCAGTTGAAGGACAAGGGCCCGTATGTTGTGGAGGATATGAGACTGCACGAGTTCCTGTTTCGGGAGACAACTGGGAAGAGTGTGAGTGTGTATGGCGACATTGACGAGTTTATCGCGCAGCAGCGGTGCGTTTTGATTCTCATGTCGGTCATTTGTGGAGTACATGGAGTATTGGAAACGCAAGATCACTTGAAAGTGGTGTCCAAGACGATGGCACTGAACACCGCGATTCAAGCATACGTCGATTTCATCGAAGGTTTGTTGGCTGAGCATGATCTAGGCGAAGAACAAGCGGTGGCCGACTTGCTCTGGATGATGTGCCAGAACTATCGAGACGCAAAGCCGCGTCTGGTGAATGCCGGAACTATGACGGTGAGAGAATCTTTGCAAAGACTGGACCTGCGGGATTGTCACTGGCGTGCGAGCGGGATCGCCAATGTGGTCAAGTATCTTCCTGGGAGTCGACAGCAGAGTTTGAGGAATATGCTTCTCGCCTTCCTCAATGGCAAGCCTTATTCGGGGAAGGTCAAGTTTAATGAATTCGAGTTCAGCTATGCCGGGGTGTGACCATACAAGATTTCTCGGATTGATGCCTTATTTGGTAAAGAGGTCAGATCCAAAGGGGAGGGTGCCTTTTCTGACAATTCACATCACGTGCCCATGAATGGCCTTCGAGTCACGGGATGTTGACATGAGGACAGAGATCGTGCCTCTCGGGGGCACGCTGCAGTCTTGGGGCAGATTCCGGAATTGGCCGCTTGCGTTAGAAGGAGAGAAGACGCAAGGAAGATATGGCGTCTTGTGGTGCTTGCGCTCGTCAGTAGGGTGAATGCGCAGAACGGATTAGGATTGCGGCATCAACGGAAAGCGGTCCGGAAGTCACGAAGGAGGATTTGGACCGGAAAGCTCAGGGTAATGCATTCTAGCAGGTGCATCACCACGGGGAAATAGTGGCCCAGGTTACCCTAATGATCAATGTGGCATCGCTCATCACCAGGCTGAAAAGCCGTGCATGGATTCAATCCGTGAAAACTGCGGACGTGATCGACGGTCGGAGAGTCGACGTCAGGCGGACCATGATGCTCAGCTTGACGAGACCGCCTAGCAGCCGAATGCCCCCCCTCTGTGATGATACTACAAGTACTCCAGACGCCTCTTACAGTCTAGGGACGGAGCGTTGTGGGAGCCGCTCGTTACGAAGCACACCAGCTGAGGAAAGGGCGCCGCAATCTCTCGGGTGACGATCCTCTGTGGCCCTGGGGGTTGTACTTAGGTAATTTTGGTTGTAGTGGCCGACCGCGGATGCAAAGCGAACATTTCCGACGAGCTCCACCCCCACGGACCTAATCGGCGTCGCCTATCGGATTTGTTATGCCCCAAAATGTTTCCAAAAGCATCATCCCCGTCACCCAGGAGCTCTTCCCATGAAGCAGGATTCGAATCGCACAGTCGCGACACCGTGGCGTGAGGGCGGCTCAGAGCATGGTGTCCGACACTGTGATGGTCGTGTGTGACGGGTACTTAAAGGTCAGCAGTCCAGATTGTATCGGTGCAGGGGATGTGCCAGTTAGCAAGCCATTAGGAGAGAGAAAGGGAGCGAGAGCGAGAGCTGCGCTTCTATTTCCATTGACAGCCCCTCAGCCGTCATCCGTGCCTTCCTGACAACTCGTCAATGGATCGACAACCTGATTGGATGGCTTCTCCGCCCATTGTACTGTCATTTCCAGGGCAGCTTCTTGGTACAACTTGGCTTTCACAATTCGGGGCACAATTCAGCAGCCATGTTGTGCGCCCTCCTATCTGCTCACGCCATCGCGACGCAGCTATGGATCGAAGCCTCGGATATACCCATCACGAAAGCGATGGGAGAGACACAATTCCTCCTGGGAGGGCAGGGCTAGATGACTTGGACCCGGCTTCTCTGATGAAGCCGGGAAATGTATGCCTGTGCCTGTCGGAGTGTCGCAGTGACTTCAAGGACCAACAGTCGGATCTCCTTCCCGAACAGTTGACGGACGTCCAAGTGAAGCCGCAACTTGTCCAAGACGTGGCGCGCATCCTTCGGAGCTTGATGAGCTCGGGGCTTCCTTCGCACGAGATTGTCGATATTTCCGAAGAGGGTCTGCATGAACAGATGCCTGAGCGAGAGCTATGGCACGGTCAGGCTCGATTGACACCGTTACTCCTTTCGAGTTTTCTGTCGGACCAAGGTCAAGAGCATGTAGAGCACTGGCTTGCCCACCCAGACTCATTTCATCTATTCACCCTCGACGGTGACAGCGCCACGTGGAAATGGAGAGGTGAGTCAGAGGACAAGTTGGCAGCTGTTGACATGGAGAATGCAACCTCGGCAGACATTGCGGCCGTGGAGAAATTTTGGAGCGATGACAACAGATCGCAGCAGACCGGCATCACTTCAGCCGTGCCGCTGTAGGGAGAGGTTGTGGAGTGGTAATGGGGACGTCGTACTCGGTATTGGACGGCCGATATGATCTGAACACGGCTGATTGTGTTGACATTGTGGTGCGATCCTCAACGATTCATTTGGCAATCATTCACGCTTCTCCTGTTCTTGTTGTTGTTGTTGTTGTTGTTGTTGTTGTTGTTGTTGTTGTTGTTGTTGTTGTTGTTGTTGTTGTTGTTGTTGTTGTTGTTGTTGTTGTTGTT